GTATATATCCAATAAACTGCCATTATCTGTCATCAAACTGTTATTACTATCATAAAATTCGTGTATCAACGGTTGTGTGATGTAGTGTTAATAGTATAATGAAGTTGTGTTACTATTTTATTATTTTATATTCATTTTCTGTTTTAATGTGTCAGATATATTCACCAAACACAAATGTTACTGGGACATATCCATGGCAGCTTGCTAGAGGTAAGTTGTATACAGTAATTATTTATAGTACCGTCCCACTTGTTCAAAACTCGATGATAAATTTTTATACCCGCCATATACAATGCAACCTCGATTCTCGAACGTCTCTCATGTCGAACAAATTGGTTTTCGAACAGAAAAATTCGAGATGAAAACGCCTCGGTTATCGAACAAAATTTAATACCATAGATTACACAACATACCAGATAGTTTTTGATAATCTTTAAAATAATGTTGCACAATAATTATACTTTTACGGTATGTACATATTCAATAAACTGCCTGAGTTAAACGGCGCTTTGGTCAGTAACCTTTAAAATAATGTTGTACTATAATTGCACAATAATTATTCTTTGACGGTCTGTGTATATTCAATAAACTGCCATTATGTGTCATAAAACTGTCATTACTATCATGAAATTGAGCAGACGACACGCACACCAGACGTTCTGTGTCTTAGCATTGTTTTCTGTCTCCTTTGCAACATGTTGAGAATCTTATTTGTCATCCATTCGTCTTCGTCCATTTTCCGTTGGGACGATCTCGTTTGCTGATGTCACTAAAGCTTTTCTTAGTGTGTCACACTTCCAGTTGCCATTTTGTTCTTCATATCTTCTTTTCAGACTGTGCATGTATTTTTCCTTCAGGTCCGGATCGGTCAGGAGTCTGTTGTACTGCAACTTAGGCGCTGCGTTAGGCTTCTTCAGTTTACGTAGTTTCATTTTTAGTTTACATATAACAGGGAGGTGATCGATTTTGCAGTCGGCATTTGGATAGGTTTTGCAGTGCACAACTGCATTCCTGAATTTCTTGTTAATGGTTATGTAGTCGATTTGGTTTTTCATTTCTCTTCCTGGGTTTCTCCATGCCAATAATCGTCTTGGATATTCTTGGAACCAGATGTTGGCTGTTACCTGGTCATTCACCGTGCACCATTGGACCTATTTTTCTCGGCGTTCGTGGCCGGTTCCTTGTCTGAATATGCCAGCAATTTCACCATCTTTTGCCTACATAGGCATTCAGGTGTCCTCTGAAGATTATAGTTTCTTGTCATTTAAACTGAGCCTTGGCGTTGTCTAGCATGGAGTACAAAGATTCGATTTCTTCTTTCGTAGTTTGTGCTGTCGGTGCATACACAATTATAATAGATGTGTTGAAAGACTTTCCTTTCAGGTTAGCTACAAGAATTCTTTCAGATAACTTACGTTCTCCCAGAACGCATTTCTTCATGTCTTGATCTAGTATCAATCCGACTCCTTTTTCAGTTTTCTCTCCGCCCGCATATATAATCCTCCGCTTGTCACTGACGAAATCTCCGTTGTTTGGTTAACTAGTTTTTACATATTTCTTAAAATGTTGACATTTAACCTAGACATCTCCTGTTTTATGTTTTCCAAAAAACAAAATGAAAGCGTATCGCAAAGAAAGAAAAGAAGGAAAAAAAAGAAGAAGAAAAGAACTGAGAAAGAAGAAAAAGTAAGAAAAGGAGAAGGAAAATGAAAACGAAACAATGAAAAAATACTTTCTTTCTTTCTTTTTCTTTCTTTCTTTCTTTCTTTCTTTCTTTCTTTAGAAGGAAAAAGAAGTGAAGAGAACGAACGATAAAAGGTAAATAAATAAAAGAAAGAAAGAAAGAACGTTTAGAAAAAGATCAGACATAAACTGGAAATATGGAGGTCGGCTGAAAAGTTCATAGGCTAACCAAAATATAAATCTAAGTGTACACACGAATTGGTAAACTAAAAGACATGTTCCCTGCTCTTCAGTCAACGTTAATCTGAAAAACTTTAAATGCAATGTCAATCGCTATCTTCTTTCCTTCCTCCCGCTCATTATTAATACCTCTGTTCCTAATTCTTCCGCACTCTGTAACCCGTTGCATCGCGTGATTTTTCTGCATTGCATGGAGTAATACTGATTAGAAAGAGTCTACCAGAATACAAAATGGTCCTGGACAAGACGTTAAACTATATCCGCATCCTGGGTAAGACGATAAACTACATCCAGCAGAAAGGCCTCTGATCAGGAGGTTTTGAGGAGCCTGGAACCACATCTTAATTGCTGGTGTTCCGAGGTCCACCCTGACCCCGGAGTGGTAGCACCTGTTAGGGTTCCAACCATGGGCAAATAGTTAACTATTACCAGCAATACTTTTTTGAAAAAAAAAATTATTACCAGCAATACAATTTCGAAGGAAAAATATTAACAGAAACAGATTTTTGACAAAACAAAATATTACCATAAATAAAAAAAATGTTGTCGGCATTAAATAACCCATTGAGGTTGATATACCGTAAAACAAAATAAACCAAATCAATCTAATCCAAAGAATACATATTTTATTCATACGAATATATCCTAATAATGTTGTCGGCATTAAATAACCCATTGAGGTTGATATGCCGTTAAATAAAATAAAACAAACCAATCTAAACCAAAGAATACATATTCTATTCATACGAATCCATCCTAAAAATGTTCTCGCATTAAATAACCCATTGAGGTTGATATACCGTAAAACAAAATAAACCAAACCAATCTAAAACAAAGAATACATATTCTATTCATATGAATCTATCCTAAAAATTTTGTCGGCATTAAATAACCCATTGAGGTGTTGATATGCCGTAAAACAAAATAAACCAAACAAAACCAGAATACAACAGTACAAGACTGGTGCCGGGATATCATCAATTTATAGTTGAGCTGACTAAATGTAGTCGTAAGGTCTATGCTAACAGTTTTTTTTTCTCGCACTTCTCGCTTGTGGAATTCCCTTCTTGCTCCACGTTTTCCATCCAACTTTAATCTGCAAAAATTTAATGAAACATCAGTCGCTATCTACTGTCCTCCTGATTACTCTTGCCTCTTCCCGTTCATTATTAAGGTTTCTTTTCCACACCGTGTAACTCTTTGTGTCTTAGTGGCTTTATTGCCTTTCATGGGGCGATACCGATTAAAAATGTTGCAACTACTCAGACAACAAACGAACGTAATTGGAAAGAAAACTTTGTTTCTATGGATCCCGATTTATTTATGAACTGTAACCGACAAGAAGAAGAAGTGTAAAAAGCTAAGGCTATTCAATGCTTTCCCAGGCTTTTCTCATGAGGAGGGTGGCTAGACATCAACCAGGATTAAAAACAAGACCTGTCAAAGAGTGGATGAACCTAGGGTCAACGGCCATCTAACATAATGTAACGTTAGTTTATCGGCATACATCGCTATGGTACCTAGAATTTTTAAAATTTAAACACTGTACTAGACTGGTGTCGACATTTCATGAATTTATAGTTGTAGCCGTAAGTTCTATGCTAACAGTTTCTTCTTTCCACTTCTCGCTTGTGGAACTTCCTTCCGGTTCCATGCTTTCCAGCCAACATTAATCTGCAAAAATTTAAATGCAATGTCAATCGCTATCTACTGTCCTCCTGATTACACTTTCCTCTTCCTGCTCATTATTAATGTTTCTGTTCCTAATTCTTCCACGCCCTGTAACCCGTTGCGTCTTTGTGATATTACTGCCTTGCATGGGATGAAACCGTTTAAAACAAAGTGTACCAGAATACAGCAGCTGACCGGCCATCTGCTGTATTCTGGTACGCTTGCATGTTTTACCTGCCAACTGTTATCTCTTTTGTTTTCTTTTTTTTAATCTTTTCACCCCAAGCAAGGTAGTAAAGCCCCTAGGACTCTAGAGGTTACTGAGTGTTAGAGAATATAAGAAAAGATATTATGAAGAATTATGAAGCCAGAATATAATGGTTGACATTGCATTTAAATTTTTAAAGATCAAAGGCAATAAAGCCACTAGGGCGCAAAGAGGTTACTGAGTGTTAGAGAATATGAGAAAAGCTACTATTAAGGTGAGAGGACAATAAAAAAAACAAGAATTAAAAAGACAGAAGATAATGATTGACATTGCATTTAAATTTTTAAAGATCAAAGGCAATAAAGCCTTTAGGACGCACAGAGGTTACTGAGTGTTAGAGAATATGAGAAAAACTACTATTAAGGTGAGAGGACAATAAAAGAACAAGAATTAGGAAGACAGAGATAATGATTGACATTGCATTTAAATTTTTAAAGATCAAAGTTGACTGGGAAGCAAGAAGCTTGAAGAGAGTTCCACAAGCGAGAAGTGCGAGAGAAGAAACTGTTAGCATAGAACTTACGGTTATATCTGGCCATTTTAACTGTAAAATGATGAGACCTTCCCGCCAATCTAGTACTGAGCTTAAATTCATAAAGTCTAGCTACCATAGAAGAATTTTCACTGCTTACATACATATCTTGGTGAGTCTATGAACTTTCATTTGATATCAAAGTTTTCAGAAATTTTCAGAGTATCGGATAAACATAATTTTTTTTAGATATGTGCGTGTGTGGGGTGGGTACACTTTTGTTGTTCGCCTCCCGGCTACAAATTGGACGTTCCAATATCATCTATAGACGAAATATCTTCGAGATGAAAAACAATTTAGTCCAATGAGATTTGTGATTCAACATATAACGGCCCGTCAGATTTCAAATCTGAAAATTAGAAAACCTTTTATTTGAGGCTTCATTCAAAAGCAATGAATGCCAGCCGTCGCATCAGAATAATTTGCCAGATTTGGAAATTTGCTAACAAAGAGTCTTTCTAATGCGAAAGTGGCATCTATCTCTGAATGCTTTTAATGCATACAGAATAGAAGAAATCGAATGACCGCTGGCGAAATTTACATTGGACTCTCGCGATTGCATTAGGCTGAGTCATAAATCATTTCCTTTTTTGGCAGCCAATTGTCATGTATCATCCTAACCACTTCTTTCTTTCTTTCTTTCTTTCTTTCTTTCTTTCTTTCTTTCTTTCTATAACGGTTTCCTTCTTTTTGATTCGTCCTTTCCTTTTCCTCCTTTGTAACTCGTTCTTAATTTTTTTTCTTTGTTTCTTTCTATTTTCTCCTCACACTCCGCGGGTTTTTTATTACCTTTCTTTCTTTCTTTCTTTCTTTCTTTCTTTCTTTCTTTCTTTCTTTCTTTCTTTCTTTGTATAAATGTTTCCTTCTTTCTGATTCGTCTGTTCTTTTTTCTTCTTTCTTAAACGTTCTTTCTTTTTTATTTCTTTCTTTCTTTTTTCTTAACGCTCACCGTTTTCTTCTCACTACTCCTGTTTTCTGATTACCTTTCTTTCTTTCTTTCTTTCTTTCTTTCTTTCTTTCTTTCTTTCTTAACTTCCCGCTCATTTTTTCTTCTCATTTTTCCTGTTTTCTGGTTACCTTCCTTACTTAATATTTTCTTTCTTTCTTTCTTTCTTTCTTTCTTTCTTTCTTTTTCTTTTTTTCTAACTCGGTCTTTCTTTTTCTTTTCTTTCTTTCTTCTTAACTTTTCGCTCACCTATTTCTTATCACTTCTCCTTACTTCAGGTTACCTTTCTTTCTTTCTTTCTTTCTTTCTTTCTTTCTTTCTTTCTTTCGTTCTTTCTTTCTTTCTTTCTTTCTTTCGTTCTTTCTTTCTTTCGTTCTTTCTTTCTTTGCAACTTGTTCGTTCTTTCTTTTTTTCTTAATATAATCGTTTCTTTCTTTCTGATTCGACCTTTCTTTTTCCTCCTTTTTAACTCGTTCTTTTTCTTCTTTTTTCTCTTTGTTTTTTTCTTTCTTGTCTTCTTTCTTTTTACTTAAACTTTTTCTTTTACTTAGTTTCAATTATCCTTCTCGTCACTTCTCCTGATTTTTATTACCTTTCTTAGTTTTTCTTTCTTTATATTTTTCGTTCTTTCTTTCTGTTTTCTTTCTTTCTTTCCTTCACATTTTCTCTTTTTTTTTTCAGCTTCCTTTATCTTACGTTTTTTTCTGTCCCTTTCATTTTACTTTAACGACATTTTTTTTTTTCATTCTTTTCTTTTTACTTTTCAATCATACTTTCTCTCTATTCTCTCACTATTCCTTTCTTTCTACTGTGTCCTTTTTATCATTCTTTTCCTTTTTCTTTAATTATTCTCTTCTTTTTTTTCTTCTGTTTTCTTTTATTTTTACTTCTCCATTTTTTATTCCGGTTATTCTCTTGTTTTCTATTTGCCATTCTTTCTTTTTATTTCTGTCTTTCTTCTTCGTCTTTTCCTTCTGTTTTCTTTATTTAATAACTTCACGTTCTCTCTTTTTTCTTTCTATCTCCATTTTCTTTTCTATTTACATTTTCTTTTTACTTCAACTTTCTTTCTTTCTTTCCCTTCTTTTTCTTCTCTTTTTCTCTACTGTTTATTTTCAAGTTGTCCTTTTATTTTTCTTTGTTTACTCCATAATCTCCTTTACTCTTTCTTTCTTACTCTTTTTTTTCTTTCTTTCTTTCTTTCTTTCTTTCTTTTTTCATTCTTTCTTTCTTTCACTTTTTCTTTTTTTTCTTTCTCTCTTTCTGTTTTCTTTCTTTATTTATTTCACATTTTCTTTCTTTTTTCTTTCTTTCTTTATTTCACATGTCTTTCTATCTTTCTTTCTCTCTTTCTTTATTTCTTTCTATTTTCTTTCCTTCTTTTTTTTCTTTCTTTCTTTCTTTATTTTTTCTTCCTTTCACTTTTCTCTCTATCTTTTTTCTCTCTTTTTTTACTTTATTTATTACACTTTTTCTTTCTTGATTTCATTTTTTCTTTCTTTCTTTCTTTCTCATTTGAGATCTCTCTCTCTCTCTCTCTTTCTTTCTTTCTTTCTCTTTTTATTTCTTTCTTTATTTCACGTTTTTTCTGTCTTTCTCCCTTTCTTTCTCTTTTTTCCTTACTTTCTTTGTTTCACTTTTCTTTCTTTCTGCCTTTCTTTATTTATTTCTATTTTTTCTTTCTTTCTCTCTTTCTTTATTCATTTCTTTCTTTCTCTCTTTCTTTATTCATTTCTTTCTTTCTTTCTTTCTTTCTTTCTTTCTTTCTTTCTTTTGCTTTATGCCTTAACTTCGAAACTTTTACCAAAGTCAGACTCATTCTAATTTCGTTTTCTGTTTTTTTCTCCTTCCCAGTTTCGCCTTTATCACTGACCTTTTAGGCGGCCGATTTTTTCCCGCCTTTTTTCTTCTCTTATAATTTTTCTATTTTTTTATAAGTTGTTGCTTTTCCTTTCTTTGTTTAATTCACAATCTTCCTTCCTTTCTTTCTTTCTTTCTTTCTTTCTTTCTTTCTTTCTTTCTTTCTGTCTACTTTACTTTTATATTTCATCTTCACATCCTTTCTTTCTTTCTTTCTTTCTTCTTAATTTGATTTTTATCCTTGAACCCTTTACCAACGTCATAATCTTTTTAATTTTGTTTTTTCAGTTTTTTTTTTACTTTCCTAATTTCTGTTTCATCATTGACCCTTTTTTTTATTTTACAGATTTTTCTTCCATCTTAATCCTCTCTCTTCTTCTGCCCTGCCTTTATTTCCATTTTCTTTGATCTGCCGCCGATTCCACTCAACCAATCTCATTACATTAAGAAACATTTCTCCTTCCATTTCTTCCTCTTTTGTTTCACTCTCTATTTTCTCACAGTTCTCACAGTTTTTCCGTTTGCAAGTTTGATAAATACGTTCACCTGAAAGTTCGCCAGAAAGAGGAAAAAAATTCCAACAGGTAATCATTTTAATCTCAACTGACAAATCTAATGCGACACACAGTCTTCAAATAGCTCTTATTTTGAAAGGATTTCGTTCCTATCTTCATTAGTGAGTTCTACTTGAGATTTTAGCCGACATTTTAGCATAAGACTAAATATATTGAACAGTGATTACTTTCACTGGCATTTACACTAATATTTTCTTTTCTTGATCTTCCTATGCTTGGAATAAGACGTCTTTAGTTTGTTTAGGAAAAGGGATTTATTTTCTTTTTAAATTAACTTTCCCGTCACTTTTCCCATATACGATCTCTTCTCAAAAAGTATCGGAACTGGAAAACTACAACACATACCAATTCGACATTTAATCTCCTTCGAAGTAGTCCTATTCTGAAGACACGGACATTATCCATCTTCGTTTCCATAGATGAAAGCATTTCTAGAACTACTTTTTGTAAGGATAGCAAGCGGGTGCTTCGTCTCATTCACTTGGATTTTCTCTACGTCTTGAAATCTTGTCCCTTTCAAGCGAGATTTGATATTTCAAACGAGATTTCGGGAGGGGCGAGATCTGAGAAATATGGTGGTTGTTGATTCTAGGAAATGTTTTGCTCCGCCAAAAGCTGCTACTAAAAAAAAACATGCTGACTGATGGAATATTTTTGGTGTGGCGAGACGACCGCACTCTACACGCTTTCCTACTAAGCATTGCTATGAACAAAGGAAATGAGCGATAACATTATAACATAGTGCGCATGCGCGACAAATTTCGAAGTCGATCTGTTCCAAGCGGTTTCACTCTGCGCAATTTAGCTCTGTTACCATAGAAACATTCTTGATGCTGTAATTTATAGAAATAAAAGACATTTTTCAGCACCCCTAACAAATCAATTATGACGGAGCAGGTCGAATTTACTTTGTAAATATTGCGTAAAAATGTTGCATAAAAATATTCCGAGACGACGTTACGATCTACAAAGTAATTTATTATTATTATTATTATTTCCTTTGATTTCTGAGTTTTTATTTCTTTCCGGGTCGCCCAGGGACCTAAGGTTAGAAATGGCATCATGACACTTTCCACTGACAAAAAAAAAAAAAAATTACATAGATAAAGCCCTTCGTAAAGTGTGGTCTGTACTTGTCAGAACAATTTTTTGTATCTCCTTGAGGCATGGACTTCCAGGAATCCCTTCAACTAGTCTACTGCAATCTTTTCCAACCAGTCCTTGGGCTCCAACTAGAACAGGGATTGTTGATGTTCCCATATGCCACATTTTCGAGCTTTCTATTTCAAGGTCCTTGTATTTTGATAGCTTTTTGAATTATCTTCAAAGATACATTGAAGTCAGCAGGGACTGCCATATCAATAAGGAGGCACTAATTATTATTATTATTATTATTAATAATAATAATAATAATAATAATAATAATAATAAGAAGAAGAAGAAGAAGAAGAAGAAGCATAATAATAATAATAAATACTCAATTCAGCATCATGGCTTTTACTGAACGGGACATTTACTGTAGTCCATCTTAATACACCAAGACAAAACTTGTACATTTTAGCACCCCAATCAATTAAGATCAGAAGCCATGTGTGCCATACCTGGTGTAGCATCATGGCGTTACTAGACGGGATGTTTACTGTAGTCCAACTTAGTTCACCAAGACAAAACTTGTACATTTTAGCACCTCAAATCAATTAAGACCAGAAATCATGAGTGACTACAATAAATATCCAGTTCAATAATATTGTTTTGATCTTAATTGATTTGAGGTGTTAAAATGTACTAGTTTTGTTTTGGCGAATTAAGATGAACTACAGTAAATATCCCGTTCAGTAAGGCCATGATGCTACACCAGGTATAGCTCACGCGTCTTCTGATCATTACTGTAGTCCATCTTAATTCATCAAGACAAAACATGTCATTTTCACACCTACAATCAATTAAGATCAGAAGCCATGAGAGCCATACCAAGTGTGGCATCATGGAATTACTGAACCGGATATTTAGTGTAGTCCATCTTAATTCACCAAGACAAACATGTACATTATAACACATCCAATTAATTAAGATCTGATTCCATGAGAGCTATACCTAGATTAGCATCATGTGCATTTTCAAAGCCTGCAATCAATCAACATCAGTGGCCTAGAAGATCGCCTTAATAGGAACATTCCATATACTAAGAAAAGTGCTATCAATTAAATGATAATTCTCCTGTAGGGCCTAAGGACCATAGTTTGGACCCGGATCTACAGGATACAAAGCGGGAAACATCACACAGACAAATAATGGCTGAAACTGCAAAATACCTAAAAAAAAGAGAGCAAAGACGAATGCAACCGACCAGATACAAAAGCGATGGCAAGATAAACCGCTTCATGGCCAATACTCTGCCCGTACCAAACAAGCTGACGTAGACAAAACCCGTACCCATCAGTGGCTACGTAGTGCAGGGTTGAAAGCGGAAACTGAAGGTTTTATCCTTGCTGCGCAGGACCAATGCTTGCTAACTAGGAATTATCAAGCACATATACTAAAATATTGTGTCAGCCCAAAATGCAGATTCTGTGATAAATATCCAGAAACGATTGATCATCTTGTATCAGGTTGCACGGTGTTGGCACCCACTGAATATAAAACCCGACATGATAGAGAGGGCCAATATCTGTACTGGAAAATCTGCAACTTCTACGGGAAGGAAACTGAAATAAACTGGTATGAACACCACCCAGACCCGGTTATGGAGATAGGACCTGTAACAATTGTATGGGAATACACAATACACACTGACAGAACAATCAAAGCCAACCGGCCAGATATTGTTATTAAAGACCACAAACAAAAACGGTGCCTCCTTATTGATATGGCAGTCCCTGCTGACTGCAATGTATTTTGAAGATATTCAAAAAGCTGTCAAAATACAAGGACCTTGAAATAGAAATCTCGAAAATGTGGCATATGGGAACATCAACAATCCCTGTTGTAGTTGGAGCCCTAGGACTGGTTGGAAAAGATTGCCGTAGACTAATTGAAGGGATTCCTGGAAGTCCATGCCTCAAGGAGATACAAAAAATTGTTCTGACAAGAACAGCCCACACTTTACGAAGGGCTTTATCTATGAATTTTTTTTTTTTTTTTTTTTGTCAGTGGAACGTGCCATGATGCCATTTCTAACCTTAGGTCCCTGGGCGGGATCCGGAAAGAAATGTGTAAACGCCAGAAATCAAAGAAAATAATAATAATAATAATAAGGATGAAGAAATGAATAGTTTTAAATGTGTCAGTTGTTTGCACTAAAGTCCTCCGCACTAAAAGTAATATAAAATGTCTGCATCTTTAGCTAATTGGAAAAAAATTTATACGTTAGGGAAATTATGCACCAGTGCGAGTAATTGAAAATTTACAAATTAGAGAAAACGGTTAACAGACAAATTAAATGAATAAAGCTGAAAGAGCGAACGTAGAAACTTTTCTATTTAGCTTAAATTAAATTTGAATTCGTGCTTTTTTTCTTCCAAATACAAGAGACGTCTGGTAAAATAATGCCGATCAGAATATTTCAAATTCAAATTCTAAGTGTAACGGTTCAAGTAAACATTTCGCCGGGATTTTTTTATAACTTTAATGAAAGTGGAACAATTGAATCGTGCCTTGGAAAAGAAATTATTTGAAAAACAAATAATAACTAGAAATACCTGTAAAAATGTCACGGTTTCCAAATCGGATCTTTTAATGAGTGTTAATTCTTCGGTAAATTATTGAGTAAGGTCATAGTGAGTTCTATGCCAACAAAAATCCGTAGAAATTCCACTGCCGGATCATTAAATATTTGAGCTTAGCAACTTTAAGAAAATATTGCAATAACCATCATAAATATGGTCGTTATTTTAAGAAGTAGGTACAAATGAAAAGATTTGAAATTGGCAACTTTTTCCATTTCACTGAAGCAGACGATAAATACGTCTATCTTCCTTTTTTTCTTTCTAGTTTTCTATGCAAACAAAACAGGGGAGTCCATTATTTATGCGGTATTGACAGGAGACGTTGAACGCTTCTATCTTCATTTCTTTCTTTTATACTTTTATCTTTTTTTCACTGAAACCAAGCAGAGTCTCTGATAAGTGTTTTGTTTTGCTACGCAATCAAAAGAGAATAGTCCATTATTTATGAGGTATTGGTGGGAGACGTTAAACGCTAATACCTTAATATTTTCTTTCTTTCTTTCTTTCTTTCTTTATTTATTTATTTATTTATTTATTTATTTATTTATTTATTTAAATGAAACCAATAGACTATTCCACCTCTTTCCACATGATGAAAACAGAATATTCCATTATTTATGAGGCATTTTTGGGAGACGTTAAACGCTAATACCTTAACATTAACCTTTCTTTCTTTCTTTTTTTATTTCTTTCTTTCTTTATTTATTGATTTATTTATTTAAATGAAACCAATAGACTATTCCACCTCTTTCCACATGATGAAAACGGAATATTCCATTATTTATAAGGTATTTGTCGTGTGAAATAACGAAGTGTAGGACAAGCACAATTATTATATAAATAATGAGAGATTTAAAATTAAGCACAGAACCGGGATGACAATTAAAGGAAATAATTAAGCAGACCAGCACATTTCTTTCGTATGCAAGAGTAATATCTATTGGGTAAAAAAGGAGGCATGAAAAACTGAGAAAGATTTAATTCTTTATATAATACACATAAATAAAAAACCGAAGTGTTGCAAGGATACATCTTCTCACCATATTTAGCTAACCTTTACAGAGAGGACTAAAATTATCTAGTCTGGAGCCGCCCAATCGTCACTTTC